CCGGGTCAAACTGCGTTGTTCCTCCCCCAGACTACAACTACAACGGCTCCCGCCTGAGACTTTTTCACCATGTATTGAAGAATCGCGCTCTCGCTTTGGACTTCCTGGCAATTTGCCACCGAGCAGCGGCTCTGGCTTCCGCCACCGAAGCGTTTCGCTTGATATATCTTCACAAGTTATCCCGATGCCAGTCCTCGACATTCAGGAATCGCGCACCCGCTACATATTGCCTCTTGATTCAAGCAATATTCGCGCTTCAACGAGCCGCCCGCTCGACCCGCCCGTCGGGGCCTGCCCGCCCGACCAACCCGTTAATGACTGCAGTCGCCGCTCGCTGCCCGTACTGGTTCCGCGGTCGCCTTCGCTCGCTGTCCTTCGTGGCCCCGTTGGTGCCCTCAGTGGCCCCGTCGCTGCCCTCTGTGGCCCCGGGTTAAATGCCCTCCGTGGTCCCCGCTCGCACGCGCCCGTCGTGGCCCCAGACGCATGCCTTTCGTAGCCCCGCTGTCGCCCTTCGTGGCCCCCTCGCTGCCCTTCGTGGCCCGTTTACTTCCCTCAGTGGCCCCGCTGTCGCCCTTTGTGGCCCCGTATACGAGTGCCCTTCGTGGCCCCCGCTCGCTCCCGTCGTGGCCCCATCTGCATGCCCTTCGTGGCCCCGCTGTGGCCCTTTGTGGCCCCCTCGCTGCCCTTCGTGGCCCCGTTGTTGCCCTCAGCGGCCCCGTCGCTGCCATCCGTGGCCTCGGATGTTATGCCCTTCGTGGCCCACGCTGGTTTTTCTCACGATTTACTTGGGAATCGCGTGATCGCTCGAGACTTCCTCGCGATTCATGCAGGACCCACGCTTCAGCAACCCGAATGCTCGACCTCGTCGCTTGGGCCCGCCTTTCCGACCTGCCCGCTATCGCTGCCCACCCGCTGTGCCCGTTTGGTTCTACCACTTGTTTTCTGTTCCTTGCCCCCCCTGCTAATTTGTCTCGTGCTCCATTATTCTCACTCCCCCTTTCACCCGTCCTCTCTTCTCTTGTTGAAGGGGCTGCATTAGATACGCGTGGCAGGTAAGGAACATCTGCCCCCAAGGGGGTACGATCAAAGACGACGAGGGCGGGTACCGAGGGTTGGGGATGTACGTATCGATTGGCACGTGAGCAGATAGGAGTGACCAGTTTTTAAGTGATTGTTGTTGTTGGTGTTGTTGTTGGTGTTGGTGTTGGTGTTGGGTTTGTTGTTGCTGTTGTTGTTGAGCTTCCATTTTTGAAGAACAATTATTATTGATCCCCCCCGTCCGGTGCACATTTTTTTTTCAATTGCAGTGCCTTTCCCAGGGCCCGCACCCTGTTTTTTATATTAGGGCAAGTCTTGAGTGTCAAACTGTGTCGTTTGCCCCCGGTTTACAACAACAGCGGCTCCCGCTTGATATTTCCTCACATTTGATTGAAAGTCGCACTCTCGCTTGGGACGTCCTTGCAATGTACCACCGGATCGCG